TCGTGAAAAGCCCAGATTACATCGAAGATGATGTCAAGGTAATGATCGATAGCATTGTGAAGGATCGCATACGTACAGAAGAAGAGAAATTGCGACGAGAAGAGCGAGAATATGAAGAGAAATTGCGACGAGAAGAGCTAGAATATGAATTAGAGAAGTTACGAATACAGGCTGAAAAGAATGCTAATACTATGAATAACCCCGAAAATGTACAAGCACCGAAAGTGATCCACGAAACTTTTCATAAGTTTAATATGAAGGACGATATTAGCTTGAACCTGACATTATTTGAACGACATGCGGAACTGACATTCTTGCCGAAGAAGGATTGGGTACAGAGGCTTATAGGACTGATTCCTATCGACATTGCTCATTTGATTGCCAGAGAGCCAGCGGATGAATGCAACGATTACAACCACGTTAAGGGGTTACTGTTAAAAAGATTTAAGTTATCCCCGGAGAAACTTCGTCAACTCTTTATTTCTCACCGAAAATCTAATGAACGAACTTGGCAAGATTTTTCTACGAAATACAAACATACTTCGATGGATGGATTTCCGGTTCAAATGTAGAAACTTTCGACCAGCTGCGAGAACTAATTATAGCCGACCAAATAAAGAAGAGTGCACCGTACGAGCTTCGGGAGCACTTTTTAGATGAATGGTCTACTATTAACTCACCGGCCGAGATAGCAGAAAAATTTGAAGAGTATGAAAGTGTCAGAAGAACATTAAGACCGAAATTTTACAATTCATTTGCCAAGGGAGGATACGAAGCCAGCGGATCAAGCGATACTTACTTTCAAAGAACTGAATATCCCCAGGGTGGAAGTAATAGGCGTGAGAGAAAACATTTTCAATTGAACGGTACCTCCTACTCCGGGAAAAGTAAACGACTAACCTGTAGCTACTGTAAAGGACCAGGTCATTATGCCGTGGATTGTACGAAGCGCCCCAAATGTTCGAAAATTAATAACTCTACAAACTCCTCAATCCAAATCTACTCACGAATCTCTCGAGAAAGAATTAAGACCAGAGAAATAACCATGGGGAACAAAATTATTGAAGCTCTCATTGACAGCGGCAGTTCAGTTTCACTCATTCGAGAAGATGTAAGCAAAGGAATCATCGAACCGTCGAAACTCTCGAAAGACATTTCAGTATTGATCGGACTGGGGAAGTGCGAAGTCAAAACAAAAGGGTCGTTCCAGAGAAAGATTGAACTAGATGGAGAAGAATATTCTCTGACGTGGCATGTCGTACCTACGCCGAGTTTGGAATTTCAAGCAGTAATAGGTTCAGATATACTGGAGCAAGCCTCTGTCTGCTTCTATAAAGAAAGTGTTCAGTTCCGAAAACATGAGGATAAAAATTGTTTCCTGCAAATGCAAGTTTACGAAGCAGAAGTGGAAGACGAAATTGTAGTTCAACATGTTACCAATCCACAAATACGAAGAGAACTGTTTGAATTAATCTCCAACTATGAGCCAAAGAAGACCGAAATGACAAATGTGTCCATGAGAATTATCCTGAAAGACGACATACCGGTTTACCAACCTGCACGCCGCTTATCATTTTCTGAGAATCAGGATGTCGACAAGCAAATCGACGAATGGTTAGAGCAAGGGATTGTAAGACCAAGCTCACATCCGAATATGCGAGTCCAATTGTATTAGTTAAGAAGAAAGATGGTAGCACCCGGTTGTGTGTAGATTACAGAAGACTGAACCGGAAATTAGTCAAGGATCGTTTTCCATTGCCGTTGATAGAGGATGTATTAGATAGACTACAGGGAGCCAAAGTGTACACAACGTTAGATTTAAAAAATGGATTTTTCCATGTTGACGTTAATGAAGATTGCAAGCACCTCACTTCCTTCGTTGTTCCAGACGGACAATTCGAATTTAATAAAGTACCTTTCGGTCTAAGCACCAGCCCCAGCGTATTTCAAAGATATGTGTATAGTATCTTCAGAGAGCTCATGCGGAAAGGCATTGTAATAATTTACATGGATGATTTGGTGATTCCTGCTAAAGATGAGAAAGAAGGTTTAGAAAAACTAAGGGAAGTATTAGAGGTTGCCTCGAAGTATGGCTTAGAAATGAAGTTTAAAAAATGTCAATTCCTAAGAAGAAAAGTAGAATTTTTGGGCCACGTCATCGAAAATGGGACAATACGTCCTTCAATTGTAAAAACAATAGCCGTCAAGAAGTTTCCGGTACCAACAACAGTCAAACAAGTGCAGAGCTTTTTAGGACTCACCGGTTACTTTCGCAAATTTATTCCAGCGTACTCTCAAATAGCGAAACCATTGAGTGACCTAACAAGGAAAGACAACCCATTTATGTTCGAGCAACCCCAAATGGAAGCATTCGAAAAGCTTAAGAAATTGTTGACTGAAAGTCCAGTATTAAGCATTTTTCAGCAAGGAAGAACTACCGAATTACATACCGATGCGAGTCAACAAGGATATGGCGCCGTTTTACTCCAAGAAGCAGAAGACGGAAAATTACATCCTGTCCAATATATGTCGCAGAAAACGACTCCAGCAGAAGAAAAATATAGTAGCTATGAACTGGAAGTTCTTGCTGTTGTCAACGCTTTAAAGAAATTTCGCACCTACCTTCTGGGAAATCATTTTAAAATCATAACGGACTGTTCAGCTTTTCAAAAGACTATGGACAAAAAAAGATTTAGTTACTCGTGTAGCAAGATGGACATTACTGTTAGAAGAGTATGACTACGAGATTGTACATCGTTCCGGCCAGAGAATGCAACATGTAGACGCTCTGAGCAGGTACCCAGTCACCATAATTACAAGCGATACTTTCACCGCAAGACTACAAAGAGCCCAACAAGAAGACGAAAATATTCAAAATTTAAAGTCACTAATAGGAACAAATAATGCTACGGACTTTTTTATTAAAAATGAAATATTATACAAATACGTAGATGGCCGCGAATTAATAGCTGCACCAAGGGATATGCAAACCGAGCTAATCAAGTTAGCTCATGAGAAAGGGCACTTCTCATCCGCTAAAACAGAAGAAATTGTAAAACGAGAATTTTTTATACCTAATTTAAGCAAACAAGTACAAAACGGGATCATTAACTGTGTATCTTGTATTCTAGCTAACAAAAAGTGTGGGAAAAAGGAGGGATTTCTAAATCCTATTCCAAAAGAGGACGTGCCATTAAGCACTTATCATGTAGATTTTATTGGACCTTTGCCGTCTACCAACAAAAGATATCAACATATCCTCACAATAATTGATGCCTTTACTAAGTTTACCTGGCTTTATCCCGTAAAATCCACCACCCTAGAAGATGCACTAGATAAATTAAAGCTACAACAAAAGACTTTCGGCAATCCCAAAAGAATAATAACAGACAGGGGTTCTCCTTTTAACTCCAAAGGATTTGATGATTATTGTACCGAAGAGAAAATCCAAAATCTACAGATCACCACCGGCGTACCCCGAGGGAACGGTCAAGTGGAGAGAATCCACCGAACTCTAATCCCCGTTTTGACCAAGTTGTCAATCGACGATCCTACAAAATGGTACAAATTCGTAGACCGACTTCAAAGAATTCTAAATAGCACCTCCAACCGAAGTACCAAATGGTCTCCATTTGAACTATTGACTGGCGTTACCATGAGAAATAAGGAAGACCTTTACCTGAGAAACCTATTAATGGAAGAGATGGTGGAAGAATTGCAGGAGCAGAGAAACCAACTACGACAAGATGCGAAAAGAAATATTCAGAAGATCCAAGCAGAAAATAAAAGAACCTACGATAGGAAACGCAAGAAGGCACCTAGGTATCAGAAGGGAGACTTAGTGGCCATCCAGAGAACACAATTCGGATCAGGTTTAAAATTAAGGCCTAAATTTTTAGGACCATACAAAGTAATCGAAGTTAAACCTAGAGATAGGTATAATTTAGAAAGAGTAGGTAACCATGAAGGTCCTAAATTAACCTCTTCTTCCGCCGATTTAATGAAATTTTATTCACCGGGATGAGAGATTGAACGTTTTTTAATTCATTGTGTACTGTGCTTCTCTTTTATTTTTATCTATTGTCATTGGTGTTTTTTGTTTACGTGAGTTGTGTTGTATTTTCTTAAATTTTTAATGTTCTAGAGCAAATTATTCGACGTTATGTCAAATCACTGGGGTCAGTGATTCCAGGATGGCCGAACTTGTAGGAAATCTGTATTCTTTACGATTTCGAATAATTAGAATATTTTTAATTTCCAGTGTACTTCGAGAGAGAGATATGTAGGAGATGGTGGCCTCAAACGAACTGAATTGAATTTAGAGGCCAATCGAGGAACTCGGAGCGTCTGACGTCAGACGCATGAGGCATCTCAATGCCCAATCAGGGATTCGAGCGATGACGTCGAGCGCTTATAATCCCTAAGCGCGGGATCGTTTTTTTTTTTGGCTTGCTTGTCTTCACTCGCACACCGGACACGACGGAGTGAGCTCGATGCCTCTTGGCCTTCAGAAACGGCATTTCTTTAAACCTAGAAATGTTTGACGCCCCCATCTCTACAGGTGAATCCTGTTCTCTTTCCGAATTAACTTTTAATCTATTTTCTTGTAAGCAATTTAAATCTATAAATATAATCTGTTTTCTTACTTTAATAAATTGATTTGTTCTTTAAATTTGGTTCATGCTTTCTTTCGTTAAGAATTTTATCATTGCCCCTAGACACCCGTCCCACATATATATATATATATATATATATATATATATATATATATATATATATATATATATATATATGTACATATCTTGTTCAAACGTTAGGAAATACATTCTATTCATTCATTCAAGTTTAAATACACTTTTTTAAACGTGCACTGGATGGCAATTGATGTTAATACAGTTTAATCCAATGATAATTCGTTAATTAAATTAAAAATTGAATAAATAGTAAAAAACAAACATAATAGTTCAACCGCTTATATAGAAAAGAATATCGTTCGCTGTGTCTCTGTAGAACAATGGTTGGCGCGTTGAACTTCTACTCCAAAGGTCGTGGATTCGATTCCTACCTGGGATGGCCTAATTTCTGAGAATATAATTTCTTTTATTTTTACTAAACTATTTTATTAGAATAATTAAATTTAATAAAGGAATAAATAGTAAAAAAAAAACATATGTGAAATAGTTCTAAACCATATATAGGAAGAAAAATGGAAAGTCGCTTTCCATTTTGTCGCTTAATTCTGTCACATGTATATACATATTTCTATTTATTGCAACTATTTAATAAAATAGTAACTAAAGTAAAATATTTCTTCGTTGACGCAAGTAGTAATTGATTTAAAAATAATTTTTTTTATTTTACTTGTATGAGTTAATAACAGGAGTAAGAAAGGAAGACAAAAAGCTACTCTTATTTGTTTAAATAAGGCGAAGGTTTGAAATCTCACGTTGTGTTCTTGTGTATTGAGAGTGATTTGCAAGAAATGTAAATAACATAGCCGATTATTCTGTTAAATGTTTCAGGAACATCTTTGTGATTGCCCTTTAAAATTAACTATTTACAAATGTTTTTTTTTGTCTTGTTTTTCCGAGAGAGGGAAGATAATTCTCCTTTGGGCTTATTATTCTTCGTTAGCAAACATACTTAAATAGCTATACTTTCCTTAATTTTTCCTAAATTTCCTCATTTCGTATTTATTTACGAAAAGAGAAGATGTGTACACGTTTGACTGTCCATGAGTCATTTAACATCATAACATGATGAGATAAATAAGAAACGATATTTTTGGCAAATTCAGAATAAAAATGGACAAATGCAGCTAAGAACAAAAAAGAGAATAAATTCATTAATTATGATTATAAGATGAAGGGCTATATGAAATATATAATTTTTCTTTTTGATCAATGATAATTGCTAAATAGAACATAAAGCAGATATTTTTGTTACAGACATAAATTCTCGTAAATCATGGAATTTTTTTTAAAAAAATAGTATAAGAGAGTAAACGGTGTAGCCCATTATTATACTTAACAGGTGCAGAAGAGTCGTGAGTGTAACCTATCGCTTGAGTTTTTAATACGACAGAAAATTCCTTTCTTATCTCATTCAATTGTACCAGTATTTTTAGTATCTGAAAAAAATTCTGTAATTTAAAATTGTGGATATATTTTTGTGTGTAGTTTCTAGCATAGTTTCCAATAGGTAAGTTCAAAAAATCCGTATTTTATTTAAACCGTGATACTATGAATAACTCCGAAAAAACGAATAAAATATTTGGTCCTAATGAATTCGTTAAATTTAGGGGGGGGGTCCGACTCTATATTTTAAAAGCTCATGATTTTGTTTATTAAGAGCTATCTGCTTGAATTCGTGAGAAACAGTTAATTTTTTAGATCAGGGGTGGTCAACCCGCGGCACACGTGCCATAGTGTGGAATGGCTGAACTATAACAGTGGCTCGCGACTTATCGAAAAATTAAAAAAAATTGAAAAGATAATAAATATTTTATTTTTCCTTACAGTTTAAATGAAATGCGGTTGTCTGAGACAAAAATAAACACATCAAAATTTCAAATACACTTGATTGAATTACAATGGAAAATCACAAAGTAGAAAATACTAAATCATTGTTGTGTGCGCTGGCTTTTCAAAGGAAACACACGCATGAGATTTGAAGGGGAGCGAAGTAGAAAACAATGAACTGCCCAGCGAGTGTTTATGTGACTCAAGAATGGAAATTGGCTTTGGGATTTAGCTTTACTTACCGATACTATGGTACATTTAAATAATGTTAATTTAAGACTGCAAGGATAAATTGCACTAATTCCTACCTTAATTGATCATATAATTGTTTTGTGATCAAACTTTTCCTTTTTTTTTTTTTTTTTTTTTTTTTTTTGTCTATTTTGAAAATAGCGATTAACACATTTCACATATGTAAATGCTGGAAGTAACTACCAAAGTTATGCCCCAAGTTAGGACAGTTTTTAACATTTGATATCTATTTTGAAAGATTCATTGAGTGCTAGGTTTGATAATTTTTAAGAATATAAAAAATAAATAAATAAAAATGCTGTGTGTGTGTGTGTGATCTTTTCATACATTTTTTTCATAATATCTCGGCAAGACGTTTATTGTTATCCACCTGAAATCCGATTCCAAGTATTAACCTGCAGCATCATACTACACAAAAATAAAATTATAAGGAGCTTATTTGAACAGCAAGGAATCGAAATTATGTTGAATTAGTAAAAGTGGTATAAGAGTTAACAATCTTAAAAATTCTCGATATCCCTGTCAGATGTCAGATATTGTTGTAGGTTTGTATCAACACGTTTTTGAATAAGTGTTTTCTGTTATGAGCGCAATTCAATCAAATTATATCTCAAAAAATTTACTGATAAACACCTAAGAGAACGAATTTGTCTGCATCTTCGAGAAATGTTAAAATTTGTTAGCAATAAAAATTAAGTTCGTACTTTTGTCTTATTTATTATATTGTTTTTGAATTTCCACTACTTAAACTTTTATAAAGGGTGTTTTTTTAGAGGTATAGAACTTTAAATTGATCACTCAACGTATCCTTGACTAGCTATATGGCATTACATTTTAAATATGATTTCTGGCATATGACTGCCACGGCTGGCTCGGATGTAGTCCAATCTGGACGTCCAATTTTCGATGACTTTTTCCAACATTTGTGGCCGTATATCGGCAATAACACGGCGAATGTTGTCTTCCAAATGGTCAAGCGTTTGAGGCTTATCCTCATAGACCAATGACTTTACATAGCCCCTCAGAAAATAGTCTAGCGGTGTTAAATCACAAGATCTTGGAGACCAATTCAAAGGTCCAAAATGTGAAATTAGGCGGTCACCCAACGTGTCTTTCAATAAATCGATTGTGGCACGAGCTGTGTGACATGTTACGCCGTCTTGTTGGAACCACAGCTCCTGGACATCATGATTGTTCAATTCAGGAATGAAAAAGTTAGTAATCATGGCTCTATACCGATCACCATTGACTGTAACGTTGTGGCCTTCATCGTTTTTGAAGAAGGATTCCACCAGCCCATAAAGCGCACCAAACAGTCAGTTTTTCTGGATGTAACGGTGTTTCGACATACACTTGTGGATTAGCTTCACTCCAAATGCGGCAGTTGGATCGCGGCTGACTTGTCACGAGTTCGAGCCCAGTACTTCTAAAGACGCGCCGTGTAGGGGCGCGATGCATATTAAATTTGTCGACGGCTCAAACGTCCTCCCGTTGGTGTGGTGTGATAGTTAGGAAAGGGGGTAGCCAGCTAAGGTGTCGTCCTTGTTTCTTCACCATGATTCACAATTACGGGATACGTCACCAAAGACCCTCTTGTAGTTGAACACGAACACACAGTACGACGTTAACATTCACTCACTTTCATCTTTTAATACATTTTCTTCTTTTTTGTTCGAAAAGTTAAAAGTGGCATGCATATTGTTTTAATCATATAGTGGCACTCTTCCTTAAAAGTTTGGCCACCCCTGTTATAGATTAATCCATTTGAAAGTTACACATTTACTCATGCATACTATTTCCTGCCAAAGTTAATTCATCTTGATACCAAACATTTCCTGTCCTGTCTATTAATTTATTTTTCCTGACACAAAAATGAAATATTATTAATGCACCACCTATTGACATTCTTTTTTATATCAAGAGCAGGGCGTCGCTCCTCCCACTCCCATCACGGAAAAATAATTTCTAAGGGAGGATCTATTTTTAGCTTTATTTTATTTATATTTGTAAACTTATTGATATCAAAGTAAGTTCTCTTTTTACTATTTTCTTTTGTTATTTTTAATTATTATTTATTTAAAAGGGCAATTTGAAAGGACTTTAATGTCATTCAAACGTCCTGAATGGAGATGAAGGTTCGGGAGAACTAAGTGCTCTCCCATCCCACCAAACTACAATTCAGATCTTTTCCCTCTCTCGATATAAAATCAAGAATCCCTTATTTGATTCCCTTTAGCATTTATTGAACACGACTTTATTCTCCGTAAGATCACAAATCCGTTGATTCGTTTTTTGGTTGCTTCACTTTAATTGTTCTTATAATTATTAACATTTAAAATACCTATAAAATTGAATAGATTAATTTTTGAACGTTTGTTTATATAATAAATTTATGAAACGGATTATCAATTTGCATTTCATTTAAAAGCTCGGATCATTTATTGGAAGTTACCATCACTTCAATAAATAAACTTTATTTTTCTAACTCTTTCGATATATAAACTGATTTTTCAAATACGTGAAAAATTATTCACTAATAAAAGTTATACAATAAAATAAAATATGCGACACATCAGGATGATCAATAATCAGTTAGTAGGTTTAGTGATATTTATAGTCCTGATAGTGTGTTCCTGCACCGTAAATAAATTAAGATTCATTTAAGTAACTGTGCTAAGTGTTAAATGTAATGCCTCTAATTTAAAAAAAGAGGATAAAAAATAAAGCTTAGTAACTTTTTTATGTCACATACACATAAGAATTCTATATAATCGTGTACTAATGTAGACTGATATGAGAGAATATGTTTTTCTTTTCTTAATTCATAATGTGTAAGAAAAATTTGTGTGGAACACACACTTTCTGTAAATTTAACCATGATTAATTACTTCTAACTATGATTTTTTTCCATGCACTTTCAGCTACTTTTTCGATACTATTAAAAACAAAATCATTATTTATCAATTTATGCTATTCTAATTTGAAGAATTATATGAATAGATTCTAACATTTTATTTTAACTGGAGATGAAAACACATTAAATCTTATGAAAGTTTTTTTCATCACACAAATTTATTTTCATATTATGTGAACGAATAAACCAAATTTTATTTCATGCATTGTGCAAAAGTTACATCATATTTTGAGATGCGAAATCACTTACTAAAATAAGTTTGTTTAAGAATAGTTTTGGTAGCAACCAAGAAGAAAAAAGTGCAGAAAATAGCATAGCGTTTAAATTAAATTTTACGATTTTGATCCACATTCCTAAGAATTGTCTCAAAAAGTTTAAATGACAGT